AAAAAAAAAAACTTACTGATGTTCATGTGTAAGAATTCAGTAATAAAAATATTTAAAAATATACACAGAAATTATTTCCTGTGCATGTTGATCAATTTGAAGTGATTATTTATTTTAAATAATTAACATTTATTTTCGTCGAAAAAGGGTATCATAGACTTCAGACAATCTATTGCCACCGATGGACATAGAAAGTAAGTTTGCTACCCTAACATTGTTTCAAAATTCTATTACTTTTTCAATGTTGCAGCTCTAAAAAAAAGAAGAAAAATGCATGTCCAGCAGAAAGTACTAATATTTTACGAGAAAAAGAAGTTTGCTTACAAAAGAAAAAAAAAAAAAAAAAAATTAAAAGATGATGATGAAGAAGAAATGTTGTACACATATATATCCTGGAACTTATATTCAAACATTTCTCATATTATCAAAAAAATGAAAAAAAGATGTCGGATCCTAGGTGAGCCACTGTCCTCTTTTGTACTCTCTTTACGAGCAACTGTGCATCGATCATAGTTACACACGCACATTTTTCGGACGCGGAAAAAATTGATTTCCAGGGGTTCGCGTGTTACCCGGTAAAAGTGAAGAGGATTCGCTGCGAGGCCGGTTAGGCCAGTCTACGGAGTGTGACGAGGCTCCGGCTCGGCATAGATTGCCAGCAACCGGAAGGTGGGAGATCAAAGAGAATCTCCTCCGGTCCCCGGAGACGATACACGTGTCTCTGTTCATCCTTTTCTCGCGCCTTTTCTTCCTTCTTCGACGGTCTTGCACCCCGCGAGTCGCGTTGGCACACTGGCCTGAATCGTTCTGGGGTATCTATCACGGTGGGAAGTAAGCGTATGCCGTAAATATATAACACACGCCGCACGTTAAAAAGTAAAATCATGTCATCTTTTATCTTCCGACGGCGATTCAGAGCGAGACATTTTTACGAAGCGAGGAATTTGCGGTACATTCGGAGCGCAGTGATCAGATTGCTTGCCGTGTTTTCGTTTGGAATGAACACAAAGAAATTAATGGCGCGAAAATTACACGGAATTACCTCGGCACTATTGGGATAAATATCTTGCTTTTCAATGTAAAGTAGCTAATTTACTGAATAAAATATAAGAGCATGAAGATAGTTGATAGTTAGTGG